CATAATATGATTTTTATCTCTATATACAATGTTCTAATCGTGTTAATCTTTTGTTAATTTTATGCATAAATAATTGATTTATAGGTTTAAGGCTCACTGAAGAACAAATTAAGAACCTAGCCCTTGCTGAGATTGAGAATTTATTAAGACGTCGTGGGACAAGTCTACGTGAATACGAGACTATGCCATTTCTAAATAGGGACAACATCTATCCAAGTTCGAATCGTCTAATTTTGGATGAATTGAATTATGATCGAAAGGCCCTCGCTGTTGAACACGAAATCCTTCTTAATAAAATGACAACCGAACAGAGGAGTGTCTACTCAAGAATTATGTCTGCTGTTGAATCCGGCCAAGGAGGGCTCTTTTTTGTATATGGTTATGGTGGAACCGGGAAGATGTTTCTGTGGAGGACTTTATCCGCTGGTTTGAGATCCAAAGGACGTATAGTCTTATGTGTCGCATCCAGTGGAATAGCGTCTCTTTTGTTGCCTGGTGGACGAACAGTGCATTCTCGATTTGCTATACCATTGAATCCCCACCAGGAATCTACTTGCAGCATTAATCAGGAAAGCCCTCTGGCAGAATTGATAATCCGTGCTTCTCTAATCATATGGGATGAAGCACCAGTGATGCACAAACATTGTTTCGAAGCTGTACAGTCATCGCTGCAGGGCATTATGGGAGCAATTGATCCTTTGAACCTCAATAAACCGTTTGGTGGGAAGGCAGTTGTTTTTGGTGGAGATTTTCGACAAATCCTTCATGTCATTCCAAAGGGTAGCCGTCAGGACATAGTCAATGCTGTCATTAATGCTTCTGACATATGGAGGAGTTGTACTGTGCTTAGGCTTACGAAAAACATGCGTCTTCAAGGACTTGCTAATTCGGATGAACGTGATGAACTTGCACGGTTTGCAGATTGGATAGCCAACATCGGAGATGGAACTATCGGGGGGTCGAATGATGGGTGTGCACTTATAGACATACTCGATGACATTTTGCTTCATCCATCTGATGATCCTATTGCTCAAATTGTTGAAAGCACATATCCAATGTATAAGGAGGCGCCTCACGATCCAAGTTATTTGAAGGATAGGGCTATATTAGCGCCGACGTTGGATGTGGTCGAGTCTATCAATGAGTA